ATAAATATATATTTATAAATACAGGGTCAGACTCATATAATCCTCCTGTCTCAGCCTCCCCAGCACTAGGATTACAGATGTGAGCCTCCATAGCTGCTGGCACCACATGCATGTGGTACTGAGGACCGAACCTGGGTCCTTGCACCTGCCAGGCGGGTGGGTGCTCAGACCACTGAGCTATCTCCCCAGCCCCAATGTCCTCATCTTGAGGTCCTCCATTTATATTTCCAAAGATTCCTCCTCCCCGTTTTTGTTTTCTTTTTAAGACAAGGTTTCCACTGTGCTGTTCAGGTTGGCCTTGAACTCACTTTACAGCTCACGCTGGCCTCAGATGTGCACTGCTCCTCCTGCCTCAGCTTCCCGAGTGCTGAGATTATGGGTGTGTGCCACCATGCCCTGAAAAGATCCCTTTCTCAAGTGAGGGCATGGTCACAGTTTCTGGGACATAGGCATATCTTCTAGGAGGCCACTATTTGATTTACTATACTTATTTTTTATTTTTTGGCAGGCTCAGGCTGCCTTAACGGTGGGTGTGGTGTGGCATGCGGCGCTGGGGATCGAACCGCTGTCCCACAAGCCTGACTGGGTTTGCCTGGGCAGGTGCTCAAACAACTGAGCTAACTGGCAAGCCCCCAGTTTACTATACTTAGTAAGTGGAAAATGACAACCAGGATATAGGATTTGTTATCTTTGGGCATCAGCAATTTCTTTTAGTGGGGACATAACCACTATTTAACATTTTAAATTGAACACTGTAGTGAAAAGCTACCACAAAAAAACAGCAGGCCAAAAAGCCCAATCGGAGGGAACAACATTGACATGATTGTTTTTGTCCCTGCTGTCACAACCACACAGAGGCCTCTGTACAGACTGTGGTCTTATTGTTTCTCCCTGGAAAGATTCTGAGGCCCAGTATGTTGAACGCTCAGGACACTGGCACTTTGTGACATTTTGTCAAAATTTTCCAGTTAGAAAAAGAAAGAATTCTTTTGCTCAGGAAGTTCTGCGCCCCTTGCTAACAAAGGCAAAGACTGGAGAAAGGAGAAGAGGAAGAAACAGTGTCACACATAAATGACCAAGCACAGCCTCCAGCCTCCCCCAAAAGCCAGTGTGTCAGAGTCCACGCGGGTGGGCAGAGGCCTTCCTCACACCACGCCCGCCCACCCCACCTGCATTTCCTTGCTCCTTGTTTTGGCTGCAGCCATTCCGCCTGGAATTGACGCCCTACAAAGTTAATGTGGATTTTTTGTTGTTGTTCGTTGGGTGAAACTGGGCATTGAACTCAGGCCCTTGTGTTTGCCAGGGAAGCTCTTATTCCACTGAGCTGTCTCCTGGCCCCTAATGTGGATTTCTGTAAGCCATGCAGTTTGATTCTCACATTCTTTCCATCCGCATCTGAGGAGGTAACCAGCCGTTTACACTGATAAAAGTTCCAACAGCCAGGGGTGGTGGCGCACACCTGCAATCCCAATGTTGCAGGCAGCTGAGTTAGACAGAAATATTATAGGCAGGCCCTCAAGGGGGCCAGGCCCTCAAGAAGACTAGATGGAAGACAAGGTGACTTTGCAACTTGGAAGAGACAGACACTCCCATATGGGCCACGCCTGAAGACCAAGACAAAAAGAGGAAACGCAGCTACATACTTCCCTAGAGATGGGCGTTAGGGATTGATATCCTAAATAGTATCAATCAACTTGAAGGAGCCCAAATGAGTCACTAGCCCAACCCCCAACAGGAAGAGACCCTGTTCCGTATTCCTGCCCACTTGCTACGTGACTCGCTTTCCCATTTGATACTGGATTTAATCAATTTTATCTGAGCAATAGTGCTTGTAGTCTCATTGGCTGACCATAGTTTGGTCCCACCTCATGCCCAACTAAGCAAGTTCCCATGTCTTCTCCACCACCTTAGACCCGCCTCACCACATGATTTTCCTCTATAAAAGTCCCTGCAAGAGACAACTTCCTGGGGGGAACTACCCACTCCCCCCGCCTCAGGACAGGAGCTTTCTTTCTCTAATAAATATATTCTGTTCATAACCCCTGTTTGTTCCTAAAATTCATTCTTCGGTTTTAGAGAACACGAACTTGTGCAGGTCAGGTCCAGAGATCGTTTTTCCCTATGCCATTTGGAAGTTCCCTATATTGTTTGGAGGTCACCCACCCGAGACCAGTTTTTCTCCCTGTATCACTAACACTCTGGAGGCTGAGGCAGGAGGATTGCTGTGACTTTTTTTTTTTTAAATAGGCATGCACCACCATGCCTGGTTTTGGTGGCCAGCACAGTGCAGAGCTGCATATGGTACTGGGGATTGAACTTGGGTCCTTGTGCTTGCCAGGCAGGTGCTTAGACTGCTGGGCTATCTCCTCAACTCGGATTGCTGTGACTTTGACGCCAGCCTGAACTGCATAGCAAGACCCTGTCTCAAAATATATATCAAGGGGCCAGGGAGATGGCTCAGTGGAATAAGCACTTCCCTGGCAAGTGCAAGGGCCTGAATTCAATCCCTGGTTCCACCAAAAAAATAATAATTTTTTTAAAAAATTATATGTATACATTTCATATATAAAATAATATATTATATATAATAATATATATTTATATATTGTATGTATAAAAAATAATATATATTATATATATATATAATTTATATAAATTCCAGGAAAGCACCCTTCTCCATACACCACTCGTAGCTCCTAAAATCAACTGTAATCCATTGTGACATACCTAAACTGCTTGCTGACTGGGTTAAGAGTCACACAGTGTAACTCATCAAGTAGGTAGCAGTCACCTGTGACCCCATGTTGAAATAGAAAAATTAAAATGAGCTACATTGTGTGACAAATTGTTACTGTTTTATCGATAGCAATGGAGCATAAGGTATGTCTTCATCTATTTCTGTTGCTGTCGCAAAAAACCTGAGATTGAACACTTTATAAAATAAAGAGGTGTATGGATTCATTATTCTGGTGGCTGAAAGGTCCAAACGGCATTGCAAGGGCTTTGTGGCTTCTGTAACAGGGTGGACACCAAAAAGGACAGCAGGTATGGTATATGTGAAAGAGGACAAGTGGGGTGGCTTTGCTGTGTGTGTGTGTGTGTGTGTGTGTGTGTGGTGCAGGGATTAAACCCAGAGTCACTCTATCACTGAGCTACAGTCTAAGACCTTCTTTTTTTTTTTTTGAGACAGGGTCTTTCTGTGTAGTTCAGACTGGCTTTGAACTCACTATGTAGCCAAGGGTGGCCCGGAACTCATGGCAATCTTCCTGCCTCAGCCTCCTGAGTGTTGGGATTACAGGTGTGCACCAGCATGCCGGGCCTTCATCTTTGAGACAAGGTCTCACTAAGTTTCGCTGGTAGGTCTTGAACCTGCAATCCTCCTGCCTCGGCCTCCTTTAGTGGGAGCCCGGGCCCGTGCCACCATGTCCAGCTGCTGCAGCGGCCTTGCTTAATAAGGATACACCCTGTGATTACTGATCCAGCCCTGACAGGAAGCCTAACCTGCTCCCTGAAAAAGAATATTCATTCCTTCCAAGTGCCCCTGTGACCCAAAGCGCCTCTCCTAGGTCTCCTCCCTCTTAGAGTTCCACCACCTCTCAGCACGGCCACAGGGGAGCTAAGCTTCCAGCCCGCGCCCCTCTGGAGTGACCACAGTGTCACACCTAAGCTCAGCGCAGCTCAGAGATGCGGGCTCTCACCTCATTCTGAAAAGACAAGTCAAAGTGCTAACTATGCACATACAGTGACAAACTGACATTTCATCGTTATCAATATTTGGCAAATTATTGCTATCGGGGTGTGCCAGACAGGTGCCTGTTTAGGCAGACTGCGAGGACTGTCGCACGCTGAGAGAGTGATTGAGACTGGCCTTGGTGGCATGTGGCTGTAATCCCAGCACGTGGGAGGCTGAAAACAGGAGGATCACTGCGTTTTTAAAAAAATTATTGCTATATCCCCACCTGACAAGGACATGGCGTCAATCCTGCGAGCTTGCGCGAGCGCGAAAACAGCAGCTGAAAAGAGACCTAGATTCCTCGGCACCGCTAGCCACTCGCTGCAAGACAGCGGCGCGCGCGAGTCCTGGACCACCGACTTCCTCTCCTCCGAGGATGACTTTATCTTCCTCTTTCTCCATATTGTTCAATGTCACAAATTATTACGCTGAGGGCTGTCAATAAAACTGTTCGATACTTACTTCGCTGCCAGGCTCACAGGGGCAGGCGGGCAGACCTCCCGAGGGCCCGAACTGGACCTTTGGCTGCCTGCCCACCCACGGCCACACGGCCCTGTGCGACCCCGTCCTCCAACACACGCCCTTCCGCTGGGGGCGGCTCGGTCAGCTCCTGACTCACCGTCTCTTTCTACCACCTGCGTGAAACCACTTCATCAAACCACGGCATGTCTGTTAACGAGATGGCTAGGAAGCTGGACAAGAAGATGTCTCCTAATTCTTTTTATTGAAATGAGCTGCTAAGTGGGAGGCCAGTTGAACAGAGCTTGGGGACCAGTGATTTCTACGCTCTCTCTTTAAAGCCAGGTGCTGCGCTTTGGGTGGTTCCGAGTTTCCAGCGCTGGGGACGGGATCCACAAGCCCGTGGGAACAGGTTGGCCACGGTGGGGTGGGGGCTGGGCTCTGAGGTTCAGACTCGCCCACCTGGCCAAAGGGGGAGGGGTTCCCCTTCTCAATAAGAGTGCTGCTAAGCTGCTCCCCCAGGTTTCAAGCGAGGCCTTCCTAATTCAGGCCCTGATGCATGTGAAAGAAAAACTGAGCCCAAAAAATGTTCCTTCCTGGGGAGGCACAGGGTGGAGCCTTGGTGATGAAAACTGCTTCTCTCCCCGG